CAGCTCAGCTTTGGCTGTTGTGGCCACTTGGGGAGTGAACCAGTGGATGAAAGACCCGTCTTTCTCTCTGTCTCTACCTTTCTCTGTAACTCTGTCCTTCAATAAAAAATAAATTTAAAAAATTCTTTAAAAAGAAGCTATGCATGTACTTCAAAAAATCTTTGTATCTAAACAAACTAATCTTTCTAAAAAAGATTTGAAAGGCAGAGTGCCAGAGAGTGATACAGAGAGGTCTTCCATCTGCTGGTTCTTGCCCCCCAAATGGCCACAGCAGCCAGGGCTGGGCCAGGCTGAAGCCTGGAGCCAGGAGCTCCATCCAGGCCTCCCATGAGGGTGGCAGGGGCTCAAGGACGTGAGTCATCTTCAGTGGTTTCCCAGGCACACTATCCGCAGGGAGCTGGATGGGGAGCAGAGCAGCCAGGACTCAGAGCGGCATTCCGACAAGGGATGCTTGTGTTGCAAGCTGTGCCAAACACTGCCTCCCGAGTCGGCTAATCTTTTTTTTTTTTTTTTAAAGATTTTATTTATTTTTATCTGAGAGGCAGAGTTACAGAGAGAGGGAGAGACAGAGAGAAAGGTCTTTCATCTGCTAGTTCGCTCTCCAAATGGCTGCAACGGCCAGAGCTGAGCTGATCTGAAGCCAGGAGCCAGGAGCTTCTTCTGCGTCTCCCATGAGGGTGCAAGGGTTCAAGGACTTGGGCCGTCTTCTACTGCTCTCCCAGGCCATAGCCAAGAGCTAGAGAAGTGGAGCAGTCGGGACTCGAACCAGTACCCATATTGGATTACAGGGCCCCTTTTATTTTTTTTTTTTAAGATTTTTTATTTATTTATTTGACAGGTAGAGTTACAGACAGTGAGAAGGAGAGACAGAGAGAAAGGTCTTCCTTTTGTTGGTTCACCCCCCCCCAAATGGCCGCTAGGGCTGGAGCTATGCCAATCTGAAGCCAGGAGCCAGGTGCTTCCTCTTGGTCTCCCACGCGGATACAGGTGCCCAAGCACTTGGGAAATCCTCCACTGCCTTCCCGGGCCACAGTAGAGAGCGGGACTGCAAGAGGAGCAACCGGGACTAGAACCCAGGACCCATATGGGATTCTGGCGCTGCAGGTGGAGGATTAGCCAAGTGAGCCACAGCGCCAGCCCCTACAGTGCCCCCTTTTAGCCCACTATGCCACAGTGCTAACCCTCAACTAATCTTTTAATTCCTTTTTCCATGGATTTTTTGAAGCCCCCTAGAATTTTCAAAGACTCAGATGGGCACAGGACTTTCTTTCTGGGAGCACAAAACCCCATTTGAATGAGCGACACTTTCAAAAATCTTAGTTCACTTCCGTTAATAAGGTCTGGTCTGTTTCTCCCTACAGGGCAATAAGGAGAACAGGTTCTTAGCCATCTCTGGTAAGCTTAGCTAACAATTAATAAATCAGTGTCAGAGTGGTCATAAACTGGATTAATGCTGAAAAAAATAAAACCCAGAGCTGAAACGCCACCTCCCTCATCTGTGACCAGAGGGAAGACACGACCGACAAGACGGACCCGAGGGGCTGACTAAGGACTGCTGGGCAGCTGCAGGAAGGGACAGGCCTGCACACGCCTGTGAGCTCACAGTGGGGACCAGACAGAGCCGGCCTGAGATGGCTGGCATTTTTTGCTACACCCACATTCATCTTAGGAATTCATCCATGGCCTCTGCAGACGCAGACGTCTCCACAGCTGTGAGACCCTGCAAACTTCCTCTCTTTCCTTCACCCCCAACAGCGGAGCCACTGCACATTCTGAACCTGTGCACTTCCATCAAGGGCACTGCTGCCTCCCGGGCCCTGGTCACCACCACCCTGTGCAGGCTTCCCTGCTTTGATGAGCTCGTCTGAAGCCTGCATACACACATGTGTATGTCAAGTAATGCCACATCCCTGCCAGAAGCTCCTGGAATTTCTCCTGCGTCCAAAAAAGAAAAAAAAAAATCTCAACTCCTGCAACCCACAGTTCTTTGTTTCCTAGGCTAACCACATCAGGGCCATGGTTCAAATCCTGGCTGCTCCTTTCCCAATATAGCTCCCTGTAAATGAGCCTTCGAAGGCAGCAAAGATGGTCCAAGTACTTGGGCCCCTGCCACTCACTTGAAGACCCAGATGGAATATCCAGGTGGTCCTGGCTTTGGAACAACCCTGGCTGTTGTGGCCATTTGGGGGTCTCTCTCTCTCTGTCAGTCTGCCTTCCAAATAAATAAAGTAAATCTTAAAAAAAAAAAAAAAAAGCATTCTCTTAGGGCTGGCACTGTGGCATAGCAGGTAAAGTCAGCACCTGTGAGGCCAGCATCCTGTATGGGCTCTGGTTCAATTCCCAGCTGCTCCACTTCCAAACCAGCTCTCTGCTAATGCACCTGGGAAAGCAGCAGAGGATGGTCCAGCTGCTTGGGTCCCTGCACCCACGTGGGAAGCCCAGAAGAAGCTCCTGGTTCCTCTCTCTGTAACTCAAGCCTTTCAAATTAAAAATAAAAAAAAATCTTAAATAAAAGTATTCTCTCCCAACTCTGGGGCCAGAAATGAAAGTGCCAGCAGGGTACGTGCTCTCTGAAAGCTCTGGGTGGGTTGTAGAAGTCAGTTTTGTTTTTTTTTTTGTCACCATCGTGAAATACATGAGGAAACTCACTTAGTAAAGAGAGCAGATCCATTAGCTCCCAGTTTGGAGGTTCAAGTCAAAGATCAGGCGGCCCCACTGGTTTGGCCGGCGTGAGGGTGGCAGACAGCAATGGTAGAGCGAGTGCGGAGGAAGGAGTTGACGGTGAGCCAGGAGGAGAGAGGCTGGGGCCATCTCACACTTTCAGAGCCAACCCTCTTGCAGGAACAGTTCCCTGAGGGCACACCCAGCGACCTAAGGACCTCTAGCGAGGCCCACCTCCTAGATACCATCACTGGGTTAAGTTTCTACCCTCTTAGTATCATTAACTTTGGGGACCAAGCCTCTAACACATGGCCTTTGCAGGGACCCAAGCTACATCCAAACCGTAGCGGGGAGCTCCCTTCCTTGCCTCTTCCTCTGCTCTGGGAGGAGGCCACCAGCCACCCCTTGCCTGGGTTTGCAGCCTCACTCCCATCTCTGCCTCTGTCACCACATGAGGCTCTCTTTCTGTCTTCATACAGCTTTTTCCTCTTCCTATAAGGACTCTGTCGAATTAAATCGACTTCATCTTGTGTGATTCTATCTGCAAAGACCCTATTTCCAACTAAGGTCACATTGGTAGGGACCAGAGGTTAGGACTTTATCATATCTTAGGTGGCGGGGTGGGAACAGAATTCAGTTCCTAACACCAGCCCTATCTGGGTCCACACAGTCTCCCAGGTCCAGCCCTCTCGGGCACCGAGCTCCTGCCACACCGGCCTTGTCCCACCTGCTAATGTACCTGGCTCCACCCATCCCTGAACAGGTGCTGGTTCTGTCAGGAAGGCTTCTGATCACTGCACAGCTGGCTCCTCCTTAGCATTCGGATGAAATGTCACTGCAGGTTGAATCTTTCTGAACCAAAATGTCTGGGAATAGAAGTGTTTCAGAGCTTTTGATTTTGGAGTATCTGCAGATTGTATTGGGCGAGCACAGCTAACCCAAAAATCCAGATCTGGAAGCATTCTTTCAGATATTTTGAATTAGAGATGCTAAACCTGTCCCTCTAAGTGCTTCTCTCTGACCCTCCCTTATATTTTTTTAAAATTTTATTCATTGATTGATTGATTTTGACTTATTTGAAAGGCAGACAGAGAAATATCTTCCATCTGCTAGTTCACTCCCCAGATACCTACAACAGCCAGGGCTGGGCTAAGTGGAAGCCAGGAGCCAGGAACTCCACCTGGGGCTTCCCTGTGGGTGGCAGGGGCCCAAGCACTCAAGCCATCACCTGCTGCTTCCCAGGGTGGGGACCAGGGCTCAAACCTGGGCACTTTAATATGAGATGTGGGTTTTGTTTTTTTTTTTTTTTTTTGACAGGCAGAGTGGACAGTGAGAGAGACAGACAGAGAAAAAGGTCTTCCTTTGCCGTTGGTTCACCCTCCAATGGCCGCCGCGGCCGGCGCACCGCGCTGATCCGAAGCCAGGAGCCAGGTGCTTCTCCTGGTCTCCACATTAGTACACCTGGGCCTAGCCCAGCCCTGGTTGTTGTGGCCATCTGGGGAGTGAACCAGCAGATGGAAGACCTCTCTTTCTCTGCGTTTGCCTCTCTGTAACTGTGCCTTTCAAATAAATAAATAAATCTTAAAAAAAAAAAAAAACAGACAGCAAATATTTTAGGCTTTGCAGGCCATACAATCCATGTCACAGCCACTTTCCCTTGTCACTGTAGCAGCAATGGAAGTCACAGATGATAAACAAATGAGCACGGCTCTATTCCAATAAAACCTATTCACAGACAGTGAACTTTGAATTTCACATAAAATCATGTCACAGATATTCTTTTGTTTTTTTTTTCAACATTTAAAAATAGAAAAATATTCATAGTTTGCAGGCCATACCAAAGCAGGCTGCAAGCCAAATATGGCCTGAAGTCTGCCCCTTGCAAACTCCTGCTCTAATATATATGCAAGTCAGCAACAAGAGAGACCACTCCCAGCAAGCCCAGTCATGCCGGTGGGTCGTGCCACGCCCCTAGCACTGTGGCATAACGCACGTGCCCCACCTGACGAGGCATGCAGTGCCTTATCCCCGATTAGCAAGGCAGGAAGTCGGAAGCTCAGGGACAGTAAGCTGCTTACTCAAGGTGACACAGGAATCAGTCCTTGCCTGAGGACTGGAAGTCAGCAGTCTGGCCTGGGTAGGTTATAAGTGACTCTGAATGATATTAACAAGAGCCAAGCTCCCATTCTTCACGCCCCCATGTGACAGGTGAGAACATACAGGCGGCACAGCCCACAATCAAATCCCTCTGACACTAAAGCCCACGTTCCTGCCTGTGGCTTCCTCTCGCCCCAGGCTTTGCGGACAGCACCAGCCCCAGCCCCGACAGCCCCACTTACCGGCCACCTGCAGCCACACTCGGAACCACTGAGTCTCGTTCAGGGTCTCCTGGCAGGTGTAGTTCCCCTCATCCTGCAGGCTCAGCATCCCGATGTGCAGGGCGCTGGTGTTCAGTAGAGAAAAGCGAGGTTCACGCGGTGGGAGGCTGGCGTTGGAAGAGACGAGGAAGATGGGCTCCGAATCGATCCGGTACCAGGTCACTGGGCCCCTGGGCCTTGAGATGTTGCCGCAGGGCAGAGTGATGTCCTCGTGAAGTTCTCCAATGACCACGGCCCCAGATCCTGGGCGAGGAGAGGGCAGCCTGTTACTACCTCACTGGCTCTCCCAACAGCCTCCCTTTCGGGACAGTCCCTCTGCATTAAGATTTTTCTTTTAAGATTCATATTTATTTATTTGAGAGGCAGAGTTACAGACAGAGAAAGGTACAGCCAGAGAGACAGGTCTTCTATCCACTGGTTCACTTCCCAAATGGCCGCAACAGCCAGAGCTGGGCTGATCTGAAGCCAGGAGCCAGAAGCTTCTTCTGGGTCTCCCATGTGGGTGCAGGGGCCCACTGCTTTCCCAGGCACACTAGCAGGGAGCTGGATGGGAAATGGAGCAGCCAGGACTCAAACCAGCACCCAAATGGGATGCTGGTGCCGCAGGGGGAGGCTTAGCATATTATGCCACGGGGCCAGCTCCAAGATATTAAAAAAAAAAAAAAATCAAGCACATGGTTTTAAGATGTGATTACACACAGAGCCTCTGCTAGGTCAGAATTCCTAGCCTGTCCTTGATGTCAATGAACTTGTGGTGGATTGCAAACCACCCCACTCCGCCCTTGGCCACTGTCCAGGCCCCTTGCCTCAGCAGTGCAATCCCATGCAGACTCAGTGATGTGACTGGCTGGCAAATGTGCTGCAGGCAGAGACTTCAAAAGCGCTGTGTATGAACACCAGTATGATGCAAATTGGGACTGAAATGGGGGGTGCTGTTTGGTGCAACAGTTAAGACAATACTTGAGATGCCAGCATCCCATATCAAGAGTGCCTGGGCACTGTGGCGTAGCGGGTAAAGCCACCGCCTGCAGTGCCAGCATCCCATGTGGGCACTGGTTTGAGTCCCAGCTGCTCCATGTCCAATCCAGCTCTCTGCTACAGCCTGGGAAAGCAGTAGAAGATGGCCCAGGCATATGGGCCCCTGTACCCACGTGGGAGACCTGGAAGAAGCTCCTGGTTCCTGGTTTCAGATCAGCACAGCTCCAGCCATTGTGGCCATTAGGGGAGTGAACCAGCAGATGGAAGACCTCTCTCTCTCTCTCAGACCTCTCTCTCTCTTTCTCTGCCTCTGCCTGTCTGTAACTCTGCCTTTCAAATAAATAATCTTAAAAAAAAAAAAAAAAAAAGAATGCCTGGGTTGTAGTCCCAGCTTCACTCTCAATTCCTGCTAATGAAAACCCCAGGAGGCAGCAGGTGATGGCTCAAGTACTTGGGTTCCTCCCACCCATGTGGGAGACCCAGATGGAATTCCAGACTCCTGGCTCTTGCCTGGCCCAGCCCTGGCCATTGCCAGCACTTAGCAATACCAGATAACTCCCACAGCACCCAGTGGGCTCTGTGTGCCTAGAAACTCAGAAGGGCTGGAAGTACGAGGCCCTCAGCTTTGTTCCTGCCACTCTGCCTGTCTCCTCCTCTCCCTCTCAGGTCCAAACACCCCCACAGTGAAAGCTCTCTTGGGACCTCCACACAACAACAGGCTGGGGGGCCAGTACAGTGGCACAGTAGGTTAAGCAGCCGCCGACAACACCTGCAACCCATACGAACACCAGTTCCAGTCCCGGCTGCTCCACTTCCAATCCAGTTCCCTGCTAATGTGCCTAGGAAGACAGAGGATGATGATCCAAATTCTCGGACCCCTGCCACCCACATGGGAGACCTGGATGGCATTCTTGGCTCCTTCTCTCAGCCCTGGCAGTTGCAGCCATCTGGGAGAGTGTGAACCAACAGAAGCTCACTCGCTTGCTCTCTCTGCCTTTTAAATAAATAAATAAATCCTTAGAAAATAAAAGGACTGACACTAGTGACTGCAGCCATTTTGGGGCAGGCCCTGTCATAGGCAGCAGGGATCCAAGGGTGGATAAAACAAAAACCGCCAGGGGGTCGCAGTCTAGTGGGGAAGACAGACAGGGAACCAGCAATTACAATGCAGCTGATGGACACCAGGCAAGGTCTCAGAGAGGGGACTCCTGAGTCCCGCTGGGGTGACTGGCAGGACTTCCTCCAGGCCACCACAGTGAGATCAGCTGGACAAGCAGCAGTCAGTCAGGTGAGGGTGAGGACGGGCTTTCTCCCAAAACCCCAGAGCAGCAGCAGCTGAGACGCTGCCTGGGAGTGCCTATGCTTGAGTCTCTGCTTGCAGTTCCAGCTTCCTGCTAGTTCATGGACATGGGTCTCTGCCACCCATGTAGGAGACCCAGACAGAGGTCCAGGCTCCTGGCCCAGCTGTTGTAGGCATTTGGAGAGTATACAAGTAGAAGATCTCAGTCTATCTCTCTTCCTAATAAATTTAAAAAGTAACTCATTGTTTTTAAATGGCCAGAGTAGCAGCAGTAGCCCTGTTAGAAACACAAATGGCCAGGGTTCATCCCAGAACATCTACATCAAAAACCAGACATGGAGCTGGAGCTGTTAAGCCTCTGCCTGCAGCGCCACCATCCGATACGGGTGCCAGTTCGCATCACAGCTGCTCCACTTCCAATCCAGCCCCCTGCTGATAACCTGGGAAAGCCGTGAAAGATGGCCCAAGTGCTTGGGCCCCTGCACCCACATGGGAGGCCTGGAAGAGGCTCCTGACTCCTGGCTTCGATTCAGCTCAGCTCCGGCCGTTGCAGCCATTTGGGGAGTGAACCAGTGGATGGAAGACCTCTCTCTCTTTCTCTCTCTCTGCCTCTGCCTCTCTGTAGCTCTGCCTCAAATAAATAAATAAATAAATAAATCTTTAAATTAAAAAAAAAAAAAGAAACCAGGTAAAAGGTAAAGAGGAGTAGCACTCTTGGTCTAACAGGAGCTCCAGGTGATTTTTTAAAAGTATTTATTTATTAGGCCGGTGCCGCGGCTCACTAGGCTAATCCTCCGCCTAGCGGCGCCGGCACACCAGGTTCTAGTCCCGGTCGGGGCGCCGGATTCTGTCCCGGTTGCCCCTCTTCCAGGCCAGCCCTCTGCTGTGGCCAGGGAGTGCAGTGGAGGATGGCCCAGGTGCTTGGGCCCTGCACCCGCATGGGAGACCAGGAAAAGCACCTGGCTCCTGGCTCCTGCCATCGGATCAGCGCGGTGCGCCGGCCGCAGCGCGCCGGCCACAGCGGCCATTGGAGGGTGAACCAACGGCAAAGGAAGACCTTTCTCTCTGTCTCTCTCACTGTCCACTCTGCCTGTCAAAAAAAAAAAGTATTTATTTATTTATTTATTTATTTATTTATTTGAAAGATAGAGTAACAGAGACAGAGAGGAGATCTTCCATCCACTGGTTTACTCCCCAGCTGGCCTAAGAGCCTAGAACTCCATCTGGGTCTCCCACATGGGTGGCAGGGGCCCAGTCCCTTGGGCCATCTTCTGCTGCCCTCCCAGGTGCATTAGCAGGAGCTGGAGAGAAGGCTGTACTAGAACCAGCATGGGACTTCACCCACTGCCTCGCATAGGCCCCCACCCATGTGATTCTAATGCACACTGAAGACTGACAGGTGCTAAGTGCACCTGCTGGGGCATGGACCCGTCACTAGGGAACCAGGAGCAAATGCAGCCCATCTTGCTGAGAAATTTCTCAAGTGTCCAGCCTCTCTGCACCATCAATACCCAAATGCACAATGACCACACAGGGACAGGGACAGAGGCAGAATCTGCAGGGGGAGAGGGGGATGAAAATAGAATTAATTAGGTAGCGTTCATTGCATAACCTCGTTAATACGCTAACAACCACTGAACTGCACACTTTAAAAGGGTGGGTTTTAGAAGGCTGTCCAAGAGATCCTACTCTCCCAACCTAGCAGAGGAGGGGGCGGTATAAAGGCCCCGGGGGCTGCGCAGAGCTGCAGTTGCACCCAACCACTTGGCTTTCTTCCTAGCGCCTTCTCCCAAGAAAGACCTGGGGTTGGCCATCTGCGGTGTCAAATGGAAGCAAGCATGTCTTCGGGGGGGGGGGGGGATATTTTTCCTCCCAAGACACTCCTAACTTGAAAAACAAACAACAAAAATACGTGGTGCTCAGGAGGCCCAGGGGACTGCACACAAAGGTAAAGTGGATCTGGGCGTGGTGACGGACATCACCTGCCGGTGTAGTGCCTGGCGGTCAACCAGAAAGCCACTTCATTCCGGAACGATGACTTCATCCTGGGGTTCTGCCGGCCGTGGCCCTGGCCCTGGCCCTGCGTTTAGCACCACACTGGGGAGGTCGTGGGCCCTGGAGGGACCAGGAGGGACGCTGTGGAGTTCCCTCCCAGCTGGACAGTAAACCTCTGCATTTCTCCAGATAAACTGTGGATCTGGATTCTGGGGATTTGGGCTCTTTTTAAAAACGATTGCTAAAAACAAGCTAAAAACATGTTAGAGCCCAGCACGCAGGAACTTCTGGCACGTGCTGCTAGCAAGCTCAGGTGCACTTTATAAGCCGCCTCCCGAGGGCCAGCTTACGGGGCTGGACCTGGAACATAGGCAGGAGCCCTCTGCCCGCCAGAGTCCAGGGCCAGCTGGCTCAGCGTCCTGTCCCAGAGCTCCACTCCTCCCTGCCTGGCACACCCGCCCCACAGGGCACAGGCATCAGCTGGTGAAGCACCAGGAATAATATTTTCCCCCTTGTTTTTGCATTTTATCCATCTTTGAAAGCAACCCGGCCTTTTGCAACAGAGCCATAGGGATATCGATGAAGACCGTAAAGCCGCCTTTTGTCAAGGGTGAGGAAAAGTATTGTTTCTAAGTCTGGAATTATTTCAAAATAAACTTTATTATTATTATTATTATTATCTAGAGAGTGAAGGAAGTCGACGGGGCTTTGCAAGCGCTATTGGCGCAGGTGGGCTTGGGGGTGAGGGGTGGGCTGTAAGGAAATCCATGGGTGAGGTCCAACTGGGGCAGAGGGAGGAGAAGAAATTAAGGTGCTAGTCCCGGGCTGGAGCATCCGCGCGGCAGGTAAGACCAGAGCGGAAATTTACATCCGCCGCTTCAAACGCAAAACAAAACCAACCATCACTTTCCCTCCTACCCGCGCCTCTCCGTTTCCCAATCCTCTGCGCACCCCGGCGGGCTGCAGGGTGCCTCGCCCTCCACCGAGCGCCCCGCTACGAGCGCGAACCCCAAGACCCTCCCGGAGCGGCTTCGCGGACGGAGGGAACCGGGTTCCTCGCTGTCGCCTCCTCGCCGCTCCCTCGCCACACTCAACTTTTCCCTGCAGATCGCCGCCCCTTACCTGCGGCGACCCAGCGGGCCAGGAGCGCCCCGAGACAGATCAGGACGCGGGGCTCGGGCGCCCGGCCGCCAGCGGCCATCTCGCTCCAGATCCCGGCTCAGGAGGCGCAGGCTCCGGCCGGGCTGGGTGTGCGCCCCGGGGCCCCGGCCCCTGGGGTTCCGACGGCTCCTCCCAGGTTCTCGCGGCGGCGGTGCGGTCCCCGGCGAGGGTGCCTGGGGCGACGGGAAGGAGCCCGAAGTCCGGCGCGGGGAGCGGCGCGGGGCGCCCGGCCCGGCAGGGAGGGCGCACCCCGCCCCCTGAGCCCGCCGGCGGAAAACAACAGGAGCGGAGCGCGCTGCCTCCCGCCTCCCCTGCAGGCGGGAGCCAGACTTCCTCCACCTTGGCCGGGGAGCGCTTTATGCAAAGAGCAAACCGGCTGGGGGAGGGACGCGGAGGCCCGGCCCTCCCTCCCCGAGGCCACTCCGCCCGGGACGGCAGCCTGGGGTCGAGGGACAGCCGGGCGGGACTGAGCCCTGCAGCGGCGCAGGACGCGCCCCCGCGCGGCGCTCGGGCTGCGGGGCTGCGGGGCTGCGGCAGGCAGGGCCCCGGGGCCGCGGGGACGGTCGAGGGTGCCCCTGCGCGCAGGACGGGCGCCAGCGCCGCCATCGCTGCCTTCTGTGCTTTGCGAGAAGGAGCGGGAGAAAGACGATCCCTAAGCCTTGCAGCCAGGAGCAGCCGCGGGATTCAGGTCGCCTAAAGAGGCAAAGGCTGGCGGAGCCCGCACCGCGAGAGCCGGGGCCACGCGACAGCTGCACTTGTTTTCGGGTTTGGTTCCCGGCTCCCGGGCCGGGTCCCAGCCGCCTCTGCCGGGGAAGACGGGGAAGCCGGAGCTGTGCTGTCCTCGGGAAAAGCCCAACTTGACGCAGCCCCGGGAGAAACTTCCTGACACAGCAAACAAACAAACAAACAAAAAAAAACCTCGCTGTTAGGGCAGAAAAATATTAACCGCAGGCCCCAAGAGGAGGAGCTGCAGATATCTACGTTATTGAACTTTTCTGCATGTTTGAAAGGTTCATCACAGGAAGTTGGGTAAAGAACTAGATTGCTGTTACATCATTCATTCTTTTCCCAGAGGCCTCTTACTGAAATGGTTGTTCCGTGAAAGAATCCTCTTGAAACCAATTTTTAAAGCTTGTTTCTCCTTCTTTAACTCTTTTCTCAATTACTGTTTTTAAAAAAGGATTTATTTTATTTATTTGAAAGACAAAGTTACAGAGAGAGGTAGAGACAGAGAGAGAGAGAGAGAGAGAGAGAGGTCTTCCATCTGCTGGTTCACTCCCCAATTGGCCTCAACGGCCAGAACTGCGCTGATCCAAAGCCAGAAGCCAGGAGCTTCTTCTGGGTCTGCCACATGGATGCAGGGGCTCAAGGACTTGGGCCATCCTCTACTGCTTTCCTAGGCCATAGCAGAGAGCTGGATCAGAAGTGGAGCAGCCGGGACTCGAACCAGCGTCCATGTGTGATGCCAGCGCTTCAGGCCAGGGCTTTAACTTGCTGCACCTCAATGACTTTTAAAAATTATTTGACAGAGAGAGAGATTCAAAGAGAGTGAGCTCCCATCCTTTGGTTTGCTCCCCAAATGCTTGCAATGGCCTGGGCTGGACCACAGAATCCACTCCAGGTCTCCTACATGGATGACAGGGACCCGAATGACTTGAGCCCTCAGTGCTGCCCCCCAGGGTCTGCCTTAGCAGGAAGCTGCAGTCAGGAGCGGGAGCTGGGGACTGAACCCAGGCCCTGTGACTCTGGACACAGGTGCCCTAGCCCCCTGACTCGCGACGGGGCGTCTTCCCTCTCTGGGGTCCTGGCTTCACATCCTTCACTGTGTGATAAGAGGTGAGCTGTACCCTGAGCAGAGCTGGCTCCAGGTGGCCGCGTGGCCACCCAGTGTGCTCCAGTCTTTGTTCCATATGCCATTGTGGTTCCTCAGCTTTTCTCACAAACATCTCCCATCCTCACCCGCAGTAAACGGACTATCTTTCTTTTTTTTAAAGATTTATTTATTTATTTGAAAGTCAGAGTTACACAGAGAGAGAAGAGGCAGAGAGAGAGAGAGGTCTTCCATCCGATGGTTCACTCCCCAATTGGCCACAACAGCCAGAGCTGCACTGATCCGAAGCCAAGAACCAGGAGCTTCTTCTGGGTCTCCCATGCGGGTGCAGGGGCCCAAGGACTTGGGCCATCTTCCACTGCTTTCCTGGGCCACAGCAGAGAGCTGGATAGGAAGTGAAGCAGCCAGGACTCGAACTGGCGCCCATATGGGATGCCAGCACTGCAAGCCAGGGTGTTAACCTGCTGCGCCACAGCGCCGGCCCCAATAGTAAATGGACTATCAACAGCGTTAGTAACTGGTGAGCTTCCAGCGGAAGGCCTAGAATTTTCAGTGCCCAGCCAGGGAGCTGCAGGGGCAGAGTTCTAACCTCGCTGGGGCCTCCCTGCAACCCTTGGACCCCAGGCACCCTTCAATCCCATTTCATGAGTGAGATGCCTGCCCCTGTGGGAAGGCATGCTCCAAGTCATGCAGTGAGCCAGGACTTAGCACCCAGTCCTGCCCAACAAAGATCCAGGTCTTTGTGACATACACAGAGACTGCCAGGGGCAAGGGGCCGGTGATGGAGCAAGGACAAAAAGCCTTAGATCCATGCTGACCTCTCACCTACATACAGCAAGCAGCCCCATTTCTCTGCCTGCTAATACAGCCCCACCCTGCCTTGACCAGCCCCGCCCTGCCTGGACTGCTGGACACACCCCTGTCTGAAGAGTCCAGCCATCAGCCGGAGCTCTCCCCACTCCTCCCAAGCCCTCTCCCCGAATCAGCAGCTCAGCCCCAGAGTCCAGGCTCAGCCTCAGCCCAAGCCCCTCCCAGCTCACACTGCGATCTCGCGGGACCTTTAGAACGAGCCCCAGCTCTCCCTGTCTCGGCAGCCCAGCTTCAGCTCAGACTCCAAGCCCCTTCCTGCCACTTTGTACTATACAAACCACCAGTCTGCAAGGGAAGGGACTCTTTCTCCGCCGTGTGGTCACCTGGGAGTGAGCCCCTCCCAGGCTTGATTCTGAACACAGCTGGTCTGGCTGTGGCCTCATACCCCATCTCTTCTTTCCTGATAGACCGGAGTCTGGATGCTTTGGGTGTCACCAGGCAAGCAGACACAAGCATTCCCCAGAGCTGAGCTGGCCCAGAAAACGCCCGCCCTCTTTGGTGTGGGGCCAGCCCTGACATCCACCTGCACCTCTCAGCTCGGTGAGTTGAGGCTCCTCCCCCGGCCCCTGGACCGGCAAGAGCCTTTCAGAGCCTTGGGCGCTCCAGCTGCACAACAGCTGGTCACCACCGCATGGGAGGCAAAGCAAGTTGCCTTGCAGGAAGGAGCTGAAGAAGAAAGATCTTCTCAGACCTCATTTGAGACGCCACTCGCTCCAGGCTCCTAAACCCCACGACACGTGCAGGCTGCTGGGCCCAGCTACCTCTCTGTCCAGGCTGCTACAGGGGGCTGCTGCTGTATTTTATGACATGATCTCTGAACCTTTCTCTTTGTAAAAATAATTTTTATTTATTTGAAAGGCAGAGTGAGACAGACACGGGTCTGTCATCTGCTAGTTCACTCCCCAAATGCTATAACAGCCAGGGCTAGGCCAGGCTGAAGCCGGGAACTCAATCCTGGTCTCCTACCTAGGTGGCAGGGGCCCAAGTACTTGAGCCCCTAGGGTGTACATTAGTAGGAAGCTGGAATCAGAAGCAGAGCCAGGACTGTGTTCCTGGATGTGGGCATCTTAACCACTATGCCAAACACCCACACACACACCCTTGTTTTGTTTTCACCTCCCAGGAATTGAACACTGCCTCTGGGCTAAGCACTTCACATACATCAGTTCATCCTGCCCCCTTCCAGACCTTGAGAAGGGGGGTGAGCATTCTCATTTTAAAGAACGCTCCCACTGGCTTAGTTACAAGGCAAGTAAATGGGAGTGGGCGAGGTCCCAATTCAAACCCAGGTCATCGCACTGACTTGTCCTGGGGGAGGAACAGACTGGGGCCATGGCCTATCTGCGTGCAGCCTTGGTCTTGGAAGGCTCAAGCAAACCACCTTCAGGACGGTGATCTCTGCCTGGCACCTTCTCTCATCAGTACCCCCTCCCTGGGGTACTTCTGGAAGGTTTCTTAGCAACAACCTGCTTCTCCGTTCCTCCTAGAGGTACTCTCTGGGGGCTGCAGAAAGGGAGGGCCGACCAGGAGTAGCTTGGATAGGCATCATCCCCTTGGGTCAGCTCTGGCTGCCCTGCATCCAGAGGCCAACCTGTGCTCCCAGGGATGGGCCTGGGACCCACAGACTGGCACCTCAAGGAGCTAGGACACAACTAACCTGGTTTACTCTTCTGTTTTTTTTTAAGTCTTTTTAAAAATTTTTATGATTTAATTATTTGTATTTGAAAGACAAGCAAAAGAGACACAGAGAGATGTCTCCCATCTGCTGGTTCACTCCCCAAATGCCCTCAACAGCCAAGGCTGGGCCAGGGTAAAGCCAGGAGCTAGGTCTCCCACGTGAGTGGCAGGGACCCAAGTACTTGAGCCATCACTGCTGCCTCCCAGGGTGCACATGAGCAGGAAACTGGAATTGGAAGCAGCACTGGGACTCAAACCCAAGCACTCCAATTTGGGATATGGATGTCCCAAGCAGCATCTTATTTTTTTAAAGGAATTATTTATTTACTTGAAAGGCAGAGTTATAGAAAGAGATACAGAGAAAGAGATCTTCCCACTGGTTCACGCCCTAAATGGCTGCAACAACCAAGAGCCTAGAATGCCACCCCGGTCTCCCTCTAGGCAGCAGGAGCCCAAGTACTTGGGCCATCTTCCGCTGCTTGAAGGTGTATCAGCAGGCAGATGGTTCAGAAGTGGAGCAGCAGGGGCTTGAGCCCACATGCATATGGGATGCTGGCATTGCAGGCACCGGCTTAACAGCCTGGCGGAAAACACTTCACAGGAAAAGACATCATCCAGGATGAGACTTGCTGGGAGCCCAGTGGCTCGGGTTGAAAACACCCTTGGAGGGATGGGTGTTTCACATATTGGTTAAGTCCCCACTTAGGACACCCACAGCCCATGTTAGAGCGCTTGCTTCAAGTTCCTGCTACTCTTCCAATCCACCTTTCTCTTGATGCCCACCCTGGGGGGCAGCAGGTGGCGGCTCCAGTACTTGGGCCCCTGCCAGCCACATGGGAGACCCAGAAGGAGTTCCAGGCTCCTGGCTTTGGCCTAGCCCAGCCCTGGTTGTTGTGGGCATTTGAGGAGTGGTCCAGCAGATGGAAACTTTCTCTCTGCCTCTCAAATACAGTGAAAGTAAATCCATTAACTAATTTTTTTTTTAAGATTTATTTATTTATTTGAAAGTCAGAGTTACGGCCGGCGCCGTGGCTCACTAGGCTAATCCTCCGCCTTGCGGCGCCGGCAC